GAGAACCAGAAAACTCGAAACATAATCATCACATCTCGACAGAGTAGCACTTAGAACCTTACCGGGCAATCTACGAAAGACACATGCCTCAGTAACTCCATCCTGGAACTTTCAAAGCCAGACACATCGCAAAGTGGACTATCTTCTTTTCCACTTCCATATGCCCTACAAAAACAAATTGTCGATCACACCGGTGGCTGTTATTAATACTCGGGAAATTTATAGAAAAAAAAAACTGCTAGATATCAACCTACTTGTAGCAGTGAGGACGAGGGCATCGTTCATCTTCACATTTGTAAATCTTTGCATTTGCATATCCAAGCTTGATAGTAATTTTCGCTCCAACTCATTCTTAAAACGAACAGTCTATAGAGAAACATAAAGGGCACAAATCATTTCATATTACATTTACTAGACTTCAAACAAATGGCACAAAATACAAAGTAGATTCTCTGAAGGTGATGTATCAATATAACATCTTATTGGGCACATTAAAAATAAGGTAAATCACCTGAACACCAGATATTGCTTTCACAACTGTTGACTTCCCATGTGCTACATGCCCTATGGTGCCTGACAACAAAACCCAGATCAAACTTTCGATCAACAAAACAAGGATCGGCAAAATAACCGCAACTAGCTATACATAGTTTGATCGCAACAGGGTTTGAACATTACCAATATTTATAGTAGCTTGTCGGGATATAACTTCGGGAGAGAGAGGATGCAACTTTGTAACATCTAGTTTACTTAAGTCTTGATCCATCAAACCTTTTCTAGACATTTTGGCGTTGCTCTAATAAAGGTATTTCTGATTCAACTTTAACTGTAACCAGAACCTATTCCAAGAAAAGAATTCATTAAACCCTAATAACGTGGAAGCAAAAACATTGCCAAATATAGAACTTTAAAAAAATCAAAAGGGAATCCAATATCACGAAGCATAAGCACTAAAAGCTTGTTTCTACAACGTAGGAAGAATAGACACGTCAAGACACAACGAGGAGTAGGGTCGAAAGGTCTATTGTAAGAGGATTTTTTTGTTCTGAGCCTTAAATACAGAGGAATGCCGGATTTGAAAGAGAAGAAAAGTAATTCACATAACGAAATGAATTCTGATTACTGTCCAAATCTTGAGTCCCACTAAACATCAAACTTCCAAACCCAAAATAAAAAACAAAATCTTCAAAAAAAAAGGAGAAATGATAAAGCCACGATGCATAGAAATAATAATAAAAATAAGAACATAGGAAAACCCAAAGTGAAAGGGAAAAATACAATAAGATAAAGAGATAATTAGACGAACCTGATGGATCGATGGGAAGAGTTAGCTCAAGTTTTTAGCTGAAGTTTGCAGAATGAAAACGCAACAACGAGGAGCAACGCGGCCTCTAGGGATACATGACTGATATTTATTCGAAATAAACTGAGCACTTCAAGGGTAGTTTTGTCAAATCCAATATGGTCGAATTGGCCCGAACTTTGTTAGATTTGGACTTTATTGGGCTCTTGTTTGGTAAAAAAGCACCGAGTTTCTTCTTCACACAAATGACATTCCTTTTTTTAGATTTTTTTTTTTGAAGAAATGGCCTTCATTAAAAATCTTTTTTACCAGCACTAGGTTGGGATCCTACGAGAGAAAAAGAGTACCAAACTAGTCATTAATTAAGTCGGTAACAAGTTGTTCTTTATAACAATATCAAGGAACTCGGGATAAATCGATCCAAAGAAATAAGAAGCATTAGAATCGAGCGCCCTCTTAGCCAAATAATGAACTACTAAATTTGCATATCTACGTATATAAGAAACAATACAACTAATGAAATGATTACAATTGTTGCGAATAGGTCGCATATGAATTCCTAATGTAAAGTCATAAAAATCCCCGCTACTGAATTTGTTAACCACAATTGTCGAATCAAGTTCAATTGTGATATGTTGCTACCCTTCTTCCAGAGCGAGATTGACAGCATAAACAAGGCTATGCAATTTCGCCAGTCCCGACTCAAAATAGCCAGTAGAAGTAATAGCCAAACCACCTAGAATTGTTCCTCTATATCCCGATCGACTACACCAATCGCAACAAGTCTTGTGATAGGATTATAGGCGCCATCACACCGTGTGGAGGAGACCATTTATCCAAAAGCATATTTATGAGGTAGAAAAGTGGAGGCTGCCTATTGTGCTGCCAGAAAATCACGATGGTGGATCTGAGAATTAGCTACTAGCACCCAAGGAGGTTGCGAGCAACCATCATGAACCAAAGTGTTCCTTCCGTTCCAAACATTCCGCAAAGCATAAGAAAGCCTGCAAAATCGTCCAACCTAAATGTAGTAGCTGCAAACTCTAGTCAAAGTAAGGGGGGAAGTACAAATAGAAGAAGCGAACCTGATATTCCAGCAAGATACATAGCTTCATGCGTAAAACAACAATCCCTGACCGAGTGCATAATCGTTTCAATCTTCGTCTTACAAAGGGCCATAGATCATCACCCAGACCGGCAGATCTCACTCGAGCACCAACAGGTAAAGCTCTATGCGTTAGTCTCCATACAAAAATACGTGCCTTAGGGAGCATCCTTAATTTGGCGATAATTTTCCAGAGCTTGGATGTGGCTTCGGTAGTATGTGTTGGCTTTTGAAGCCATCAATAGGCCGATCTCACTGAGTAGACCCCAGAATCGTGGTTGCCCCACACGATGCTATTATGGAAACAAGGTGCGATAGGAACTTGTAACACCACTTTTGCATCTTGTGCCAAGAAGGTCTCCACTTTGGTTCTATCCTAGTGTGGTTGATCCCTGTGCATGAAATTCTCACATCGAGCATTCTGGGTCTCGTCGTCTCTCAGGTACCTGTTAGTTGTAACGTTTGTATGCCACCCAATTTATATTTAAATAAGCGTGCATGGCTGTTGTAACCTTCTCGGCAGAAAAAGATGTTGGAAAGTGCTTGTACAGACTTATGAAGACCCTTCTACGTGTATGAACTCTTATTACCAATTTTTGCATTAAGAATATCTCCATCAGGATATATTTCACACGAAACATTTGATTTGCAAATAGTATGCCAAGCAATTAAAGGTCATCCATGCTCATATGTTTTCTCAGTCCACCAAAATCGACACATGATATCAGTAATTTCATTCGAAAGATACTCTAGTAACAAGTAACTGGATATGACATATTGGGGAAGATCTTGGGATATTGCTTTCTGAAAAACCTCCCTTTCACCATATGTTAATAGACGCTTCGTTCATCATGTTACTCACGTCATTACTTTATCACGCAAGTAACCGAACTTTCTCGTTTTATTCATAGTATGAGATAGTGTCCCAACGACTCTACTTCTTGTGTCTTAAAGATGTTGGACATTTCAGCACGGTGTGCAGAAATTGTTTTTGGACTAAAATAGATGACAAATTTAGCTAATTCATCCTTTGTCCGGAAGAAGCAACATAGAGATTTAATATCTTTTTTGTTTGGGCGGCTTCTGAGGTTGAATTTTTTAGAAAAATCAAGTTATCGTCTACAAACAAAAGATGGATACTCAAGGTCCATTCCATGAAGCTTGGATCTCTTTAATGGTCCTAGTACATTGGGCTTTATGAAATAAAGCCGATAAACCTTGAGTCACAAAGAGGGTGGAGACAGAGGATCAATCTAACGGAGACCCCTACTAAGAACAAACACATTAGACAAGGTATTGTTGACCTGGGTAACAAAAGATACAATAGTAACACAGTGCATTATTAAATCAACAAAAGTCTTACTGAATCCAATATCATATTTCTTCCCCAATATGACATGTCCTATTACTTATTACCGGAACATCTTCTGAATGAAATTACTAATATCATGCATCAATTTTGGTGGACTGGGAAAATATCTGAGCGTGTATGGCCTTTAATTGTTTGGCATACTATTTGTAAACTACAGCGAGTTGGGGGTCTAGGTCTTCAGGATCTTCGATCATTTAATTTAGTTATGTAAACATGTATGGAGGCTTATCAAAGAACCAGAGTTACTATTTGCTCAAATGTTCCATGAGAAATGCTATCCTGATGAAGATATTCTTAATGAAAACAATTGGTAATAAGAGTTTGTACGTGCGGAAGGGTCTTCATAAGTCATTACAAACACTTTTTAACTCTTTTTTATGGAGAGTGGATTGCAACAGCTCCACACGCTTGTTTAAAGACAAATGGGGTGGCATACAACCGTTACAACTGATAGGTACCGATAGAGATGATAAGACCCAATATGCCTGATGTGGGGATTTCATGCACAGGGGTCAACCACACTGGGATAGAACCAAAGTGGAGGCCTTCTTATCGGCATAAGATGCGAAAGTGGTGTTCCAAGTTCCTATCGCACCTTGTTTTAATGAAAGCATCATGTGGGGCAACCACGATTATAGGGTCTACTTGGTGAGATCGGCCTATTGGTAGCTTTAAAAGCCAACGCATACAACCTGTCGATCTGGGTGATGGTCTATGCCCCTTTGTAAGACGGAGATTGAAACAATTATGCACGTGGTCAGGGATTGTTGTTTTACGCAAGAAGCTCTGCATCTTGCTGGAATATCAGGTTCGCTTCTTACTTGGGCTAGAGTCTGCAGCTGCTACGCTTAGGTTGGATAATTTTGCAGGCTTTCTTATGCTTGTGGAATGTTTGAAATGGAAGGAATGCTCAAGTTCATGATGGCCACTTGCAACCTACTTGTGTGCTAATAGCTAATGCTCAGATCGTCCATCCTAATTTTCTAGCAGCACAACAGACAGCTTTCACTTCTTTACTTCGTAAATGTGCTTTGGATAAACGGTCTCCTCCACATGGTGAAATAATAAAGTTGAATGTTGATGGCATCTATAATCCTATCACAAGACTTGTTGCGATTGGTGTAGTCACTCGGGATGTAGAGGAACGGTTCTAGGCGGTTTGGCTACTACTTATGCTGGCTAGTTTGAGTCAGGAATGGCCGAATTGCACAGCCTTGCTGCTGCTGTCAACCTTGCTCTGGAAGAAGGTTGGCAACGTATCACAATTGATCTTGATTTGACAATGATGGTTAACAAATTCAATAGTCGGGATGTTGATGACTCTACGTTAGAAATTCATATGCGACTTATTCGCGACAATTGTAATCATTTTATTAGTTGTTTATTTCTTATGCACGTAGAGATGCAAACCAAGTAGCTCATTATTTGACTAAGAGGGTGCTTTGTAATACCCATAGCCTATATATGTCTAGTAATACGTGTCATAAATATCACATCAATTAGATAAATATTTACTATGCATAAAGGTTTAAAAATCTTGTTTCTTTTTAAACTTTCACTATTTTAACTTTTAACTTTTTATGTTATTCATATAAAATCATAAAATAATATTTAATCACTAAAAAACAAATCAAATTTTAGTATGTAAGTAGGTAATTCAAACTGATCATAACTCTATATATATCACTGCCTAAATACCGTTTAATTTTTAAAACATTTAAAATATAATATTTATATTATTCATTCATAAATACGATTAATACTAAAAATTAACCAAAATTAAAGAAAATAATCCTAGTTACTAATACATACCCTTAAAAAATGAATCTAATAAAGCAACCCAACGAATATAATGTACATGTCACTAATAAGTCAAAGTTAGGATGTCTTGTTGAAACTATCGGTAGGTTTGATTTCCATAAGATGCTGGCAAGATTCTCACTTTACAATAATTTAAAATAAAAACATTAAATTTCAAATTGGGTTAGTCAAACCGTTTTTCCTTCTGAAAACCTGAAAATCATCATCTTATGGTTTTATCAAAAATCATGTAAGTCAACATCGAATATCATAAATAACTTTTTGTTCTTTTCATTTGAACATATTTCAAATTTTCTTTTCAATTCTATGTTCCTTTATTTCATATATTGTCACAACTTTCACATTTATTATTATAGCCCAATGTATATGTAAGAGAAAATAAGGTACGTAGGTTTAAGGTGCGCACTAGGCATAACACAGTGTCGAATCATAACTAAAACTGCGATATGATGCACTTCAGTGCATCATAACCTGAGCACCAATGGTGTTGAAAATTGGTACACATATGTATCAAAGCTGAACTGAAAAATGATAACTGAAAAATATTATGTTGAATTATGTTTCGATATAACAAATTTAAAGGCAAAATATTTTTGGACTTGAATTGAATTTATTCAAAGTTTTAAAAAGGTTTCAAAAATAAATCAAAGTCCATTAAATTCGGATTTGAGCAAAAATGCTAAAGAGTGTCAAAGTGTATCCATGCACCATTGCAGTGCATCCATGCATCCATGCACCTGCCACTAGTACATCGATGCACCATGCAGGGCATCCATGCACTCAAACACCGAATGCAATTAGTGCATCAATGCACCCTACTGTGCATCCATGCACCAAGGTTACAACGGCTAGTTTATTTGAATTTAATGAAGGGGTATTGATGCACCATGATAGTGCACCGATGCAACATGTTATGGGCAGCCTTTTTTAGTAGAAAAATCATCCCCAAATGGCTCTAAAACATCTCCAACGACTATATACGACATCAAACACATTCCAAGCTATAAATACAAGCTAAGGACACTTGAAGAAGTAAGAGAACAACTATCCAAGCAATCAAACACAAGAGAAGAGTTTTTCATTCTTATTTCATCTTTCTCTTGTAAATATTTTGTTCTTGTGAGCTCAATCTTATAAACACCTACCTTAGAGAGGTTTTCTTGTTTACATCTTTTATCCTTTTGTAAAGAGGTTTTGGTTCTAGCTAAGCCTTGTAAAGGCTAGGGGAAAGGTTCTAGTTTAGCCCGTAAAAAACTAGGGAGTTGTAAGGTTACTCTTTATATCCTAAAAAAAAAAACAAATTAGTGAATTTATATTGGAAATCCTTGGTGAGGAGCTAAAGTAGTGGACGTAGACTTTGTTTGAGAAAGTCGAACCACTATAAATCGATGTGCAATTCTCTATCTTTCAATCTTCTTACTCCCTAAACACAAAAACCGTTCCGACTCCTCTTTGCAAACTCTTCCGGTTGTCGATTCGAGCTTCCGAAAATCCCAACATACTTACTAAATAGCATACCAAATGTACCTATGACTCTTCGTGCAACATATAATGTGCTTATATTATCATCATAGAATCATTTATTAATATGTGTTTGATTATTGTAAAACATCTGATATCTGTAAATATCTGATAACTATAATCATCTGATATCTGTAAATATATGGTAAATGTAATAATCTTATATCTGTAAATATCTGATAACTGAAAATCATATGATAAATGTAAACATTTAAAATTCATCATCATAAATATCATACTTGGTTAGTTCATACCCAAAATCATTCATAAAACTTGATGAAAAATTGTATAGAAATATTTCATACTGAAAATTTATAAATCATACTGGAAAATAAAATGAGGTTGACTTATCACAAGTCATCCTCGATCAGAGTAATTAAATAAATAAACTAGATTCATTTAAGCAATTTACTTATAAATCAAATATAAGCCTTACTAAGCTTTAAAAATTATTTCCACTACACAATTTATTGAAATTTCATATTATGGCAGTTTGCACTACCTTCAAAGAAATATTATTCTATATTAATCTATATATTGAAAAATTATTCTGTTTGCATCACTAAAAAACTAAACTCGAATAAGAATATAACCATATAACGCACTCTGTCTAGTTCCACTTGTACAATTTATAGCAAATTATCAAAGTTGATTGGCAGAAGTTGTTTTGGACAGAATCTGCTGTCATGTTTTCTAACCTATCACTGATTAAAAATTCATATCTTTTGTATACTCCTCGAAATCAATTTTCGTTTGTTCTAAAAGAAACTAGACTAATAGACGAATTCAATGGTATAATATTCATCCTATATTCATTTTTGTAGAAGTTATGATGATTTTCTAAATTTACTATTCAAAACATAATTTTTAGGCAGATATTTGTGTCTGATAACTGTAAAACATCTTATATCTAGTATATGCTCAAAACAATGAGCTTATATGTTGTAGACACCCGTTTTTGACCAGACTTAAAAAATATTATATTGTTATTATAATAATTACTTATTATTATTATTATTATTATTATTTTATATTATAATTATTTTGTGGGCCATCTTTCCATTTGCTTTTTCTACCCATTCCACTACCCCACAATGTCCATAACCTCAACTACCACACATGATTTTCAGAATCGGACCGGTTAGTTAATCGGTCATGTTATCGGTTCACTGATTCAATCGGTCGAATCGATCCGATCGATCAGAAGAACCGGACGACATCATAATTATTTAAAAAGTTAAATAAAAATACCAAAAGTATTTAATAAAAAATAATTTTTTATATCACAAGTCATATTCAAAGCAAGTCATAACATATATAAGTTAAAAGCCATAAAATCAAGTGAAACAAAATGATTCAAATTAACTATAACATAATATTTAAGGTAAAACATATTAAATAATAAATATAATTATATAATTATAATTAAAAAAATTAGGGGTTAAAAAATTAAAACAAAATGATATTGTTTGATTTAATTTTTTTTAAAAACAATCTCACATGGCTAAGAAACATAGAAGAGCATCCCAAAAGTCTAAAGAGTAAAAATATGAGAACAAAACAATCTCACATTGTTAAGAAACATAGAAGCGCATCACAACTAACTTCTATAAATAATAGAGGTAATTTGACATTCAAAATCATGAAGCCTTTTGGTGAGCATTGAGTGAACTATTCTTTCACTTCAATCAAGCTCGAATTTTAGGCTTCAATCGAGCTTCTAATTTTTTTTTGAGTTTAAGCTTTTTTGAGTTCAAGTTTCAATATTATATTTCGAGTTTGAGTTGAACTTGATAATTTTTAGCTTGTGAGTTTGAGTTGAGTTGAGCTTACTTTTAAAGTTTTCAAGTTCGAGTCGAGCTCAGCAATACTCGAGTTCGACTTGGCTCGTTTAACAAACGACGTTGTTTGGTTTAATTTGTTTTTAAAAAAAAAATAAAAATCTCGATTTTTCCCGATTTTTTCCGATTTTCAGCAGATCTGGTTCAAACGGTTCAGCGGTTCTGGCCGGTTCACTAATAGCAATTCAACCGGTTTAGATTGAATCGAACTAAACAACGATTCTCGATTAAACCGGTTGAACCGACCGGTCCGGTCCGATTTTCAAAACAGAGCTACCACCACACTCCCAAGAATGTCATTTCCTCTTGGCATTAAATAGATTCAAAGCTCTCATTCTTCTCCTTTAAATTCTCCTCGGATTCGTCATTCAAAGGGGGGCAATAACAAAGCAAAAAAGAATTGAAGAGAGGGAGAGAGAGAGAGGTACATGGCACTTAGCACCGTAGTCTTTGTTGGTGATTCAGAAACCCGGGTGAATGACCTAGTAGAACGTGCCAAGGGTCTTAAAGTTAATACTAGAATCGAACCTAACGAGGATCTTGGTCCAGTTATTGGCAAGGAGGCTAAAGAACGAATATGCAGATTAGTTCAATCAGGAGTCGATAGTGAAGCCAAACTACTGCTTGATGGGAGAAATATTGTGGAGGAAATCTTTGGCCCGGTTCTTATTTGCATGAAGGCTGACGGCTTGGACGACGCGATAAACATTGCTAATCAAAACGAATATGGTAATGGTGCTTCTATATTCACTAATTCCGGTGTTGTAGCGAAGAAATCCAAACATAATGCCGTAAAATAAGGTATAGTGGAATCTGCCTTGACAAAAGAAGATACGAAAAAGAAGATAAAGTGGAAGAAGTTTATTAAAGAAGCCTTGAAATCCAGTCCCGATGGAGTTTTGAAGATGCGGAAGCTGCAAAAACGGGTTCTAAAGGCTCTCCAGGAATCTGGATTCTCTTGCTTTCTCAATGTTGAACCAAACAAAAATCATTTTCACTGCCTTATTTACATATATGGTTGGCAATTCAACAAATTGAGGCCCATGTGCTTGACAGGCAATGTGCAAGATAAGTTGCTTTTGGATTTTTATGGATTAATTCTTGGTGTAATCACTCCATCTTTGGATATTATTCATTTTGGTCCATTTATTTCAATTTAACCACGAATTCCTCTTAATTTCACCCTCCATTTTGTTATTACTTCAATTTATTTTTTTTATGTTTTATTTTATATTATCTTAATTTTTTTATTTATTTAATCGATACTACTTATATATATATATTATTTATTTTTATTTTTATTTTTATTTTCTTTTTTATTTATATATATATTTTTTATTACCTTAATTTTTTTCTTTTTTATTTATTTTCTATTTTTAATAACCTTATTATTATTCTTTATTGTTATTGTTATTGTTATTTTATTATTATTTTATTATTTTCAATTTCTTTTGTTTTTAACTTTTGTTTATCTTTGCCATTTATTTTATTTTATTTTATTAATGTGTATATATATTTCCTTTTTTTTCTTCGTATTTATTTTTATTTTACCATCTAAGATTTTTCGACATTTTCAGTGGTAATTTCAATCGATCAAAGGTAAGCATTTCGAATCGGGTAGTTTAAATTTTAATTTTCGCATTTAAAGACAACCGACAAATTAATTGGTACCGAAAGGGCGGTTCAAGGGTACTAATCATTCCTTGACCGTAACCGACTCCTGAACCCAACCATTTCTGGAAAAACGCAGATCAGGTAAGATGGTGTCCGACCCACCTAAATTCGTTTTAAAATGATCGGTGGCGACTCCAAATCATTTTTCCTAAGTCGAAGCCCAATTCCGGGGCCTATTCGAAAGAAGGTTCTGACAGCTTGGCAACTCCGCTGGGGACAGGTAAGTGAGTCAGGCCAGAATTAATTTTCGGTTGTCTTTTTATGCGAAAATAGTAAATTTAAATTTATTTATTCGATTCCAATTATTTACCTTTGATTATTTTTTAAATAAATAGTTGTACTGACATTTTTTCCAATGATTTCAGATTTTTGAAAAGTTTCATCTAATGCTTTATACCCGAGCTCTGAACCCTAATAAGTGGGGGTGAAAGCGACGCCTTCGTGGGAATTTATTCTCCATATGGGCCTAGCAAGTAACCTTCAGGATTCATATATCTTATGTCTTCGTGTGAATTTATTCTCCGTATGAGCATAAGAGAATGTTTCCTCTCGAGTTTAACTTAGTCTACACAAGCTTGTAATGGGCTTAGGACTAAGGGTCTGGCAAGCCCAGTGGGGCACCAGGAAGGAGAACTCGAGTACCCTATTTAGAACCTAAACCGGGAGAGTACATAGAATTAGAGCCCACCCCAAAACCTCATTCCAAACCCTAGGTTGCTTTGTTTCTTGGTTTATTTTTTGTTCAAAGCATGTGACTTAGAAATTTATGCGGTTAGGACTTGTTCAAAATCAACTTGTGAGATAAAGATCATGTCCGGGTAGGTATGCTAAGCATGTGGCATAACTATCATGTGGGGTAGGACTTTTTATTTTCATTATTGTTTTTTGATTTACCTCACTAACTCTTTTCATTTTTTTTCTTTTTTTATTTTATTGTTTTCATCATTCGCATAATTTAAAAGAGGTGTTGATCCACCAAAAACGTGTTTGTTAAACATGAATAATCTGCATTAATGGACAAATGGGTTATAATACAAAGAGATGGAAAACTCAGAAGTCCAGCCGTGGTCAAAGAATACTCCGAGGAAAATATTGCAGGGGCAAGACGAAGAAGATGTTATTGACCCGGATGATCCTTTCGAAAACTAAGAGAACAAGATGGAGAAACCCTAGCTAAACTGGAGACCATTATTGATGAATTCAAGAAACGAGCCGATAAACTTTGGATGAAGGGCTCAAATGTCACTTTCGTTAGAAACAAGCTCGGCAGAAAGTGAAAGTCGGAGATGCAGTCCTTCGAGCAAACAGCTCATCACTTGCACAAGTTTAGCCAAAAGAGCCAGAACGGTTCGACTGGATATTCAGCCGGTAACAAAAATGACGAAAGACGAATCAACTTGTCAGAAGTTGTTCAGGATCTATACCATCAAAATATTTTTTGTCTCTCCAGACGTAACACTTTTATCCCCAATAAGGATTGTTCATAATAACAGACACATTTTTGGATCAATACCTCGAACATTTCATGCATCATGCATTTAGACATATTTTGCATTTTGTTATTTTCATTCCTTTGCATTTGCATTAACTAACGAAACCATGTCTCATCAAAAGGGAACACATACTGGATACACCACCTCAAGCCTTTGACACGCCCCATCCACATAACACCTGCTCAAAAAAGAAGAAGATGGACATGATGTACAAGAATGTGCCGAATTTAGAGCCTTGATCCAGCTAATGATTGACAGAAAAGAGCTGGAATTTTACGATGAAGACAATGACATTCCCAAAGCAGAAAGAGTCATGGCAAGTGGGATTCAATTTTGAGGCATCTTGTTTGAATTTGTTTTTTGAACTTTCTCATATTTGGAACTTATTTTTGAACTTCCTTTGGATATTTTGATGAATTTATGCTGAGCATTGAATCAAATTTACAACTTAAAATTCTTTGAATATCACCTGGATTAAAAAACTCCGTAAATGATTCAGAGTTACAGATCTTTGACAAAGTAACATGATTTAAAAGTGGTAAAACAAGGACTTTGACCTTACCCAAAAGATACGCTCAAACACCGTACCTTTCTCTCACAAATAACCAGTATGGCCTTCTCCTCCCATAAGGGAAAGAAAAAAATGCTTGTTCATTTAGGTGTGCATAGGTGCGGACAACATGGGGCATCTTTTGCATATGACATTACTATACTTTTGTTTAAGACGTTCAGTGATGATCATGATCTTTACAGATGGAATAGTCGAGTAAGTGAAATTAGTTTAGGTCAGTTACTTGGAAATTGAACTCTAAAGATGAAATTTTTTGACTTTCAACAACACCTAGACTATAACAGGTTCTTCTTGACAATCTTAAGAAATTAAATCCGCAAAGCTGAGCTATTCCACTAAGGCAATTGGTTATAGAGGAAACTTGAAAGCCCTGGCCTTATGAATAGATTACGTTCAAACCATGACATTGCTCGAACACTTGGCAATTCGGTGTTTGCTCTATTGTTATTGTCCAGCCGAAGACTTTGTGATAAGATGAACCCATCAGTTAACTTGATAAAAGTGATTATAATGTTAAGCTGTCCCTCTAAAGCAATTGTCTAAACGTCCCGACTTTATAGATTCAGCTTGCCAGATAACGACAAATTAAATCAAATTTATCTAAGCAAAAAAATTTCGGTAATGATGTACTAAGGGAGTTAAGGAATATCTGTTATAGTCAAATTCACACGAGCACTCAAGAATTTCATTTTTAGACTGATATTTATGCACTACCTTTGTTAGAGAAGCTTACAAAACTTGAACAAATAGAAGATTTCAGAGAACCGAAATAGAAGGTCTAGTAATTGATAATGCTAGTTGCGTCATTTTGTCCGCATCCAATCAAAATGCCAAGCCAAAGAAAAAGTATATTGCAATAACCGAAAAAATGACATTTTTTTATGGCTGAAACCTTAGCCAACTCATCCACTTGAATATTTGTCAAAGAGCTATAACTCTGAAAGCATTAAAAGAGCTATTGATTCCTTTGATATTCTTTGAACTCTTGTTTATGATTTAATTCGATTGCGAGCCTAGATTGAGGGGCAATGTTTTACATTATTTTTACATTTTTTTCCTCCTAAAATAAGAGAATGGAGAAAAATATTTTCAAACAGGACAATCTCGAATACGAAAAGTCCTGGAAGTCGTTAAGGCTCATTTTGCCTCTAATGAAGAAAGAACGAACAATGCCAAAATTCGAGCATTTCTCATTGTTGAAAATAATCAGTCCGAGAGACAAGATAACACTAGTGACAACTTCAACAACCCGAGAAGAAAATGGGGAATGGTCGATCCCAAGGATAAGACCAGCAGACAAAACTGAGGTTCCATCCAAGAGTCCAAAATTAATTCATGTTGCATGCATCTTAGACATACTGAAGAGCGTCGTATTTTTCATTTTTAGCATACATAATTTTTTGCAGCTTTTCGAGTCAAGTTTCAACTTCAAGACGAAAGATACTCGATTCAAAAGCACATTTAAAAGTGGTGGTTGCTCGACCTTGCAGCGAAGGGGTGACCGTCTGACTACAAAATAACTTTCTGAGTCTCGTTCAAAGTCAATTTCAACTTCACATCGAATGATATTGGACTCGAGATAACACAAGCTCAACTTCACAGTGAAGGGGGGACTGACTGTTAACAAACAACTTTTTAGTTTCATTCAGAGTCAATTTCAACTTCACAGCGAAGTATATTACACTCGAGATAACACAAGCTCAACTTCACAGCGAAGAGGCGACTGACTGTCAACAAACAACTTTTCAGTTTCATTCAGAGTCAATTTCAACTTCACAACGAATGATATTGGACTCGAGACAACACAAGCTCAACTTCACAGCGAAGGGGCGACTGACTGTCAACAAACAACTTTTCAGTTTCATTCAGAGTCAATTTCAACTTCACAGCGAATGATATTGGACTCGAGACAACACAAGCTCAACTTCACAGCGAAGGGGCGACTGACTGTCAACAAACAACTTTTCATTTTCATTCAGAGTCAATTTCAACTTCACAGCGAAGGATATTAGACTCGAGACAACACAAGCTCAACTTCACAGCGAAGGGGCGATTGAATGTCAACAAACAAATTTTCAGTTTCATTTAGAGTCAATTTCAACTTCATAGCGAAGGATATTGGACTCGAGACAACACAAGCTCAACTTCACAACGAAGGGGCGACTGACTATCAATAAACAACTTTTCAGTTTCATTCAGAGTCAATTTCA